ATACACTATTTTTTAAATTTAAAATCTTTTTATTTTTCATGGTCATACATCTAGATGTCGAGATGATCAATCAAAGGGTTTTTCAACATTAAAACTACCTTTTTCGATGGATGTTTGAGGTGCACCATAGTTCTACATTATAAAGTTGTATCTTTATATAAACTTTTTCCCCACAATAGATATGCCTTATCACTTTGGAATAATTAAATATGGAAAAAGTTTATATAAGGTTGCAACCTTAAAATGTAGAATTACATATCCACCTCAAAAATCTATCGAAAAATGTTGTTTTCATATTGAAAAACCCTCTAATTGATCATCTCGATATCGAGATGTATGAATATGAAAAAAAAAAAAAAAAAATATTGAGTACCAAAAATAGTGCATCTTACAACACATTATCTAGACAGTCCATTTTCAAGATTTTCATATGTTTATAGATCTACTTGATTTTAACCATTTTAGGAGTCTAAAATTTTATAATTAGATATGCAAATAGATTTTAAGATAAGCCTAATACTTTTTTACACCAACATTACATATTATGATAAAATTTGGAAGTACGCTTTTATTGGATTGTTTAGGGTTGCAACCTTAGAGAAACCACACCCATTAAATATTCACTCTTACAAACAGTTCAATATTGAAACACGACAAAATCCATAGGGGAACCTATAAAATTCTTTTAAAGTCTTAGCTTTGATTGCCTTCGGATCTTCAAGGTTAAAGCCCGCATATGATTTCGGATCATGATGGTTTGAAGTTATAATTTAAAGAATTTGCTTCAGAGCTTCAAGATCTCAAATCATTATATAAATAGTGACTTCGGATCTTATAGGTGTGGGCATTTTAATGAAAAATAAAATAAAAACTATCAATCTAACATACGACATACCCAGGGGATTTTTAAAATAAAGGAAAATTAGGGGGACATGAGCTCCAATTTCCCTTGCAAAAAACCAAAGTACACATCGTTGATCAGCTTGATTATTAAAAATTCATGCACTCCTCACAGGCGTACCAGCGCATTGAGAACCAAGCACACAGAATTGGTGTAGAACTGGGCAGAATTGTATAGAACTGGGAATGATTTGGTGCCAGGTTTAAAGAGATGATCATGCAAATAATGGGTCGAATCAGTCCAAGCATTTGAATGTTTTGTAGGTTCCTGGATGCTCGTTTTACCCGTATTCCCACCTCCTGCAGATCTGAATGATCAACTCAGTTAATATGCCTTAGAATATAGTATCACATTCTACGAAAAAAGGACTCAAAGAAATTGGCCTCACCATAGAAGAAATTTTCAGTTGGTAACCAAAATTAGTGTAATTGCAACTTTTGGTTCTCTCTCAAATTCTCCATAAATCTTGAAATGGCCAACGAGTCGTTACGGTCATCTCTACCAGATAACCATTCATCCTCCAAGTGTACATCAATGTCCCTACATGATCAGGTTGAGTAAAGATCACCAATGACTAAATTCAAGTACAAAAACTTAGGGGATAAAAAAGATCGCTAGATTTATATTTATGACGGGCAAAAAATATGATACATAAACATAGTTCCAGCAGTGATCATAAAATGACAAACCCTGTTACCTACCTCCTTAAGCTAAGAACCTGAAAATTTCTTCGGAGATAATCAGCATGCTTGGTAAGAGCTTCTTGTGCGTATGGTTTTCCAACTGTTCTAATTGAGGCAGCATTGAGCAAGTTTTCCAATGAGCCATGTTTCTTTAGGAGTTTCAGAGCTGTCTTTCTGCCAAATCCAGGAGCCACATGTTGAAGTCCAGGCACACCATCAACTTCATCACCCAATATGCAACCTAAACAAGTTCATTGAACATTAGATAGCATGAAGATCATCATTTACAATGGGAAACAATGAAAGACGGACATTATATATATATATATATATATATATATATATATATATATAGTAGAGAGAGAGAGAGAGAGAGAGAGAGAGAGAGAGAGA